TTTTTTTTAAATTAACCAAATTAATATAAAGTTATAATTTTTTATTCCTTGACTAAAACCAAGATCCATTTTTACGTGTTTTTTTTACCTCTAAATTTGTTTATCTTAACTTTTTGATGATTCGTTTTTTTCCCCCAAATATTTATACAGTATAAAACTGTGTCAAGATTTAGTTTCTCAAATAAATTATTGTAAGAAACAAAAAAAAAATGTCCACTTGGTTAAAAAGGTTATGTAATCTTTGTGGTTTGGTTGTGATTAGGTGGGGAAGGGTCTGTCCATAGTCGACAAAGCTCAGAAATTGGCCTTTCAGCACTGGATTGAAGCTGTAATTTTTTCTACACTTTTTCCATTTATTTTGGGTTAATAACTTTAATATTCATATGAAATAATTTTATTTAGTGTGTAACAAGAAGACTAAAAATATGATTTTTATTTTAAAATATATCAGATTGATCCTAGGCACCGGTATGGACACAACCTGCATTTGTATTATGAAGTGTGGTGTAAAGCTGATGCTGGTCAGCCATTTTTCTACTGGTATGCTTAAATTCCCGGTTTGTTTTCGGTTCATGTTAAACTGGTTATTGATTTCTGTGTTTCTTCTATTTACAATCAAATCAATCCACCTAATTACTAAGGTTCATGATTCATTTTGTTAGTGTTTTCTTGTAGTTCAAGAAATTTTGAAATCTCATTTTTCTACTGGTATGCTTAAATTCCCGGTTTGTTTTCGGTTCATGTTAAACTGGTTATTGATTTCTGTGTTTCTTCTATTTTCAATTAAATCAATCCTCTTAATTTCTAAGGTTCATGATTCATTTTGTTAGTGTTTTCTTGTAGTTGAAGAAATTTTGAAATCTTATTTTTGTATATGTATTAGGTGATAATCTTAATTCTAATTTTGTAAAATATCGGTTGTTTTGCAGGTTGGATGTTGGAGGAGGGAAAGATCTTGATCTTAAAGAATGTCCAAGGTCGAAGCTTAAGCAGCAATGCATCAGATATCTTGGACCTGTATGTGCACCATTTCTCTCTTGTCAATTTTTTGTTTCGACATATTTTGGCGATTTCTGATATAAATATTTTTTTCCGATAATCAGCAAGAAAGGGAAGAGTATGAGTATGTGATCACCGAAGGGAAGATTGTACACAAGTTAACTGGACAGTTTCTACACACGATGCACGGATCGGAAGGGACAAAATGGATCTTTGTTATGAGTACTTTCAAGAAACTCTATGCCGGTCTGGTAAGTTCTTTGTGTTGTTTATATAACTTAACTTGATATCATTACCAAAGAAGTTTCGAATTGATCGTATTTTCTTGGTTTATGTTTTACTTCAGAAGAAGAAAGGAAGGTTCCATCACTCAAGCTTTTTGGCTGGTGGAGCAACTTTAGCTGCCGGTAGAGTAGTTGTTGACAATGGAGTTCTCAAGGTAATTTACCTAGGCTGCGATTGTTTTATAACGCCAATTTCTGCGTTTGCTATTACTTTACATGTGAATATTTCGGGTCACATTTTCATAGTCATGTTTGCATTTTGTGATTTTCTTGACTGATGGTTATGTCTTCGTTGTTTTCTCAGACAATCTCTGCATACAGCGGACATTACAGGCCGTCAGATGATAGCCTCGACACATTTCTCTCGTTTCTCAGAGAGAACGCAGTGAGCCTAGACGGTGTTGAGGTAAACCCTTATTCTACAGTCTGATATAACAAGTTTATATATAGTATAGTTCCTCACAATTAAATTACAAAACTTTACTCTGATCCCCGACCTGAAGAGATTATAAGTTTTACGCTCTATAACTTCTTGGTTATTGAATGATCAATTACTAGAGTTGGGTGTTTCTTAGTGTAACACTATGCCTATTTGATCATATAACTGTCACTAAGGAAGGTTACTTTGGTCTGCGTAGGTGCACAAAGCTAGTGAAGATTCCGACAACTACGATGAGTACTTTCAAAACAACGCAGATGGATCCAAATCGTTAAAGAAAGAGGATGCAACATCTAAAGCAGAGAATGAAACAGAAGAAAACGGTAATGAAACATTGGAGGAGACGAAACGGAGTAGTTACCAGAGAACGCTCTCAGGTGGGCTTGTGAGTCCAAAAGCTGACGTTCCTCAGAAAGCGATACTACAAAGGATCAACTCAAAGAAACTGTCGAGATCTTTACAGTTGGGTCATCAGTTGATGCTGAAATGGTCGACTGGAGCCGGTCCAAGAATCGGTTGTGCAGCCGATTATCCGGTTGAGCTCAGAACACAGGCTTTGGAGTTAGTTAACTTGTCGCCAAGATACCGGAGCAGCACACTTTCTCCGACCGGGGGGCTTGTTTCTCCTACGGGGAGGCTTGATGTCTGAATCTCATATGTTGTCCTTGTTTTGAATTAGTAGTTAATCATCATCTTCTTATGTGTGACCTGATCAACATTTGAGTTGTATCTAATGTTTTTGAATTTGTTGTTCACATGTGAAGCAGAAGGAAATGAATGAGATGTGTTTGATGTAAAGAGCTCTTTTCACTGATAATGAAAAGAAACGTTTACAATCGTCAAATTGCAGGATTTTTAGTCTCATCAGAAATTTTTGTAATATCTATCATGAGTTTGAGAAATCTAAATCTACATGCTGATTCTTAGATATCTCATATATATGAGTTTGCGGAAGCGGGTGGGCTTTTTGCATAAAAACACACACGAAAAAGAGAAAAACTATATTACTTGTAACTTTTAAGTAACTAGTACAGTATTAAATAGATGTAAGTTATAAGTTTTGTTCGAAAACGCGGTTTTTGCTCTTGTTCGATATACTCATGCGGGTGATAATAATAATATTAGTTTTTTGGTCATCTTTAGTGTATATGTATATGTAAAGACATGTGATAAACAATTGCAAATCTCACAGTCTACCATACCGGAGAAAGAGCTGGAACAAAGCTAAAACCTTAACAAATATACCATAGAAACCTCTTATAGCAATTCAATTTTTACCTCATAATTTATAGACAAGGAATTCAAATTTACCTCATAATTGATGAATGCAAATTTTCTCCAAAAAAAAAACAATTGATAATGAGTGTAATGGGCCCAATGAGACAAGCCCAAATTGAGAAACACCACAAACCCAACCAGACATAATAT